GTTTTGGGCTGGGCAAGGGTATTCAGCCCCCAAGTTGTAAGCAAGCCACATTATTTACTACAGATCCTTGGGCCTAAGAATAGCCAATATATGGGCAATATTGGGTCCATGACAAGTACCTTTCAGCAGGGTTCCTTTATAGTTCTATATTGTTCTGCGATAATGCACCCGAAACCCAAACCCTTGTGGAAACCCTTATATCCAAGGGTAAAAGGAGGGACCCTTAATAAGGATCCACTACTATGGGGCCTATGGGAAGGCACAACTGAAATCCAAAGATGCCCCCGCCATTTCCAAATGACTCCCGAGGCAAAGCTCATTATCGCATGCTGTTAAAGATTCCAAGGGTGAAACGAGGGACCCTTAATAAGGACCCCTGGGTATATACCCTTAATATAGCTATTATATGGCCCATTATAGAGTAGGGGTCTCCGTTAAGGGTCCCTCCTTTTCCCCTTCGATTATAGTTATGTTTGTAAAGGAAGCCCTACGGAGCCCTAAACAAAGCCTATTGTAATCTTAAGGGCCTCTACTTAAAGGCTCATGGGACTTAGTAAGTAAGGCTGTAACTAGGATAACCCCACTTAGTGGACTTATAAGCCCAACTATAAACTACTTACTAAGTCTCATGATCCTTTTAGTATAGTAGGTGATTCCTGACGTATGGAGGCCTTCCTATGGAATCCTCCAAGTTACTAAGGCGCATGGTCCTCCACTACTTAAAGGATCATGGGACTTAGTAAGTAGGTTATAATTGGGGTTATACGTCCCCTAAGTGGGGTTATCCTAATCATACTTATAACCTTACTTACTGAGTCCCATGATCCTCCAATAAGGCCCTTGGACCATACGCAAAGGAGCCGAATAAATTTGAACCTTGGAGGATCTCTCAGTTTCTCCCCTAATATGGCTATGGCTCCTCTACTATATTATGGTTCAAGAGCTTTTCGGAGGCATGCTGAGGTCCGAACCCCAACCCCCAAATCCCTACATGTTAACCCTACATAGGGACGAAACCATCCGAAACCCAAGCCCCCAGCTGCCCCTTTCAACAGCCACAGCCTTTTACAGGAACCTCAGTCTAATTATTTTCGTCCCGTGAAGCCTACACCCTAAACCATTAGAAGCCCTAAACCCCCCATAAACCCTGAACACCTAAACCCTGAGATTTAAAACCGCAAAACCCCTAAACCCTGACTCACGTTAACAGGTCAAGGTGCACTCGCTGAAGCTCAGAAGGCCAGGGGCCTTCAGTGCTTTTCCGTGATAGCGGGGTTAGGGTTCAAGGTTTGGTCTAGGGTTTCAGGTTCAAGGTTTATAACAGCGAGTTTCAGGGAATATAGGGTTTACTAGGACACCAAACCCGCGAATAAGCCCACTGGAGCCCGAGCCCCGGACGCAACAAATCAGAACGTCAGCGCCCTTGCACGAAGCCAGGACGTTTGCGAGAGTACCTGGAGCTGGCAATCGCGGACCCACGCACCCGGCAAGGTCTTGAGAGATGGCCATCTTCTTTGGCCACTCTGCCGCGCTTTTGGCCGAGTCGACATCAGCCAAAATAGAACCTGTGGTCTGAGACGTCAGAAGGAACCATCCTGAGATCCAAGTCCTGCTTCTGAAAGACAACTCCGGCAGCGATCCAGAGCAGAAACCCCGGGTCCGCTGCACGAGCCGCGCCTTGCCTATTCGCGATCTCCCTGCCCAGGTGGTTCTCCGCAGAAGAATCATCCTCGGAGTCAGAGCCCTGGCCTCAGAAAGAAGCGCGTCATGCGACCCGGTCGGCAGCAAACCAGACATGGCTCAAACAAGGATGGAACAGTTCGCCCGTCGCTCAAATTGCTCACACAATCCGGCCCAGGCAAACATCTCGCGCGATGTTACTTTCCCAGGACAAAAGGCGACGAACTCACGCTGCCACCGGCGATCCCAAGCAAACTGCGAAAGGAAACAAACTTCGCTCCTAGCTGTTTTCAGCTAGAAGTCAAAATCTCATGGTTGCACCTCTACAATGGGCCGCGGACGTGCATTGAGACTGGAAGCTTGCACCAAGATTGTCAATAAATCCGCAGCGACCGTTTGAAGCATCTTTACGGCCCTGTAAATGCAAAAGGTGCTGGCCACATTTCCGTCCTTTTGGATAACATGCCAGGGTTCGCTTGCTCCGTCTGGATCTCAAGTGCAGCCCCAACTAGTAGAAAACAAATGCCTTAAGTCGTTGAATCCCTTTGAGGGCTGCTTCCGGGACGAGTGTCTCCTCGGCGAAGACCCGGACGATACGTCCGAACATCCAGCGTCTTGTGCCCGAACCTCACTTTATATTTGTGAGAAACTGCCTGACTCAATATGTTTGCCAAGGTCGTATCTGTGCTGAACAGCGCGTCGAGTTGGACACATTGACGGGCCTCAATCCTTATGAGACCGAGTGGCCGACTTGTGCAGGCGCAGACCGTTGCCTCTTGTCTGATTTGGAAGGTAGCTTGCGCTAAAAACTTGTACACTGCCGTAGCTCATGTGTAGAGTGTAGAAGGCACTTCAATGCACAAGGGCAGTCATGGACAGTCCAGTATGTAGGCGTCTTCCGGTGCTAAGAAACTGGAACATTGCGGGCAAGCATGAGCGGCCGTGCAGCGGCAATTGCCTTAGAGAGCAAGAAGGACCAGCACTTGGAAGCGGCCTTGGTCTTCACGGTCCTCGCGCATGCTGTGGCTGGGTGTAAAATGGTTGTTGTATTTGCTTCTAGAAACAACAACGCTCTGCCGCCGCAGCGGTTAAGCGCACCGACGCCTAATCCTCTTGCGCACATCGTAATCAGAACCGTTGCCGCTGTCTGACAAAACTTCGCGCCAAGGCCCCCCTGAACGGATTCAGCTGAGAGTCCGTTAAGTCGAGAAACAGCTACAGTGCGTGCACCAAAAAATAAGAAGTCTGCTGCACCCGGCATCTCTTTGGCCGATAACTCCATCACCTATAGTGACCGCGGCTTTGGAAACACCTCCCTGGCCGGTCTCTCGTCTTCACTTCGGCTGGCAAAGGGGGGGGCCTTATATCTGACTTCTTGATCTGGGCGTCCGGTGACTGTTAAGTGGCCTGGAGTGACGATTTGGACAGGTGGAGATCTAGATGGAGACCTAGTCCATGTGAGCTTCAACGGCAAGCTCATCGCCATCGTGCGGGCTACCCACGCCACTGTCCAGCGCATGAGGCCATACCTGCGGCTTTTGGAAGCCGACGTCCTGGCCGGCGCTGCCAAACCCGGCACGGCCTGGGAGATGGCAGTGGAAGACAGAGGCCAGTTTTCGTTGCCGTGCGAGACTTCGAGTATGTTGGCGCCGGATGAGGTGTATATCGTCAAGGGTGGCGTTGCAATGGAAGGGACTGTGGTGGATGCCCGCCTGAGATAGCAGCGCCTGTAGTTTATTTGTTGTGAACCCTGATGTTGCGGAAGCGGCTTGTATGTGTGTCTGTAACTTCTGGGAAGGCTCCTGGGGTTATGCGTGCTTGGATTTTAAGTTGCCACGGGAAGGGGCGGGGGGGGGGGGGGGGGGGGGGGGGGGGGGTATTCGTGCATTGAATTCGAATCACGCCCGATAGAATGCCACTAGGCGTCCCGTGGGGTCTATGTAGTTGTCGCAGGCATGGCGCTACCTGTGCTATACAGTTACCGATTTGCAGACGTCCAGAGCCCGGCTGCCACCACACTGCCTCATGGCGCGAAGGTTCTGTTGTAGCCTACGTCATCTCTATAAAGCCATAAAGCCAACGTCCCAAGGACCTTTGCAAAGACATTATCCTACATGGAACTTTAATTCGGAAACCAGCACAGTGGTCGTAGTTGTCCACGTATTCTGTGTTCGGGCGCAGTTGGGCTCAGGTGCGTGTTCGATGACAGACTAGATAGACACTAGGTGCGCTAGAAGGACAATTATACAGACACCCGAAATTTAAGCATGCTCAGTGCCGAGCACACGACGAAATTATCATGGCGCGACTCACGTCAAGTACATTGTCCGCCTGGGCCTTAGATGCCTAATGTAGGTGTTGCCTACACCAACAGCCAAGCCGAACAGGTACATGCGCAGACGAGTGCGACAAACACAGGAGCCGCAGCTGTTGCTACATGTTGCTACACGACGCATCGAATTGCGGCTTCTTCCGCACGACAAGGACCGAAGAACCAACGATGTGCTTGAATATCATTTAACCGGGTTGGCGGTTGGCGTGCAGCGTTTCTGTTTGAATTCCGGCTGGGCCAGCTACGGCAAATCTCCTTCCAGGGTAAAGCAAGTGGGATGGTCGAGGAGTACTTGCTATCGGCAATGAGTCCACTTGCTCCGGCAGCGAAAGTGCGCCCTCAAGTACCATTTAACAGAGCCCTTGTGGTCCGGTCCTTAATGGTGGTTTTGGTTTGGGGTTGGGGTTCAGGGTTTAGTGAATATAGGGTTTAAGGTTTAGGAGTTAGGGGTTATAGGGCTTTCGGGTTATAGGGTTAGGGAGGGTTTATGGAACAGGGCAGGTTTGGGGTTTCGAGATCAGGCTTAGAGAGTTCGTTTATTGGGCACCGTAAACTCTGAACCCTGAAATTTAAACCGAGGCCCCCAAGCCCTACGCCCTAAGCCCAGCCCTGCACCCTAAGTCCCTACGGACTGCCGTGGGCACCGCAGCTGTTGTGATCAAGGAAAAGTGCCGTGGACTGAGCAAGGCAGGAACTGGTATTTCAGGAGTTTGAGCTTCGGGTATAGGTATAGGGTTTGGTGTTTACGGAAGGAGTTGTTATTTTGCGAGCTTAGGCTTTAGAGTCTGTGGAACTGACCATCTTTCATTCAGGTTTGGTAATGAGGTAGTTTTGTCATGGGACAGCAAAGTGAAATAGACAAGTACTGTACCCGCTTTCTCCCCAGAGCACACGTGGACCCCAAGCACATCAAGTGTTCAAGTATTATCCCACCATTGTCACCCTTTCGTGCTTTCAAAGCGGTACCTGATCGTTCCAAAGAGCTGTGATGGGCAGCACGTGTTCCCTATGCAGCTTGGCGCCTTTCTTAATCCAACGGTAAGTAAAGGGCTCATCCTCGGAACAGGAAAGGAGTTAGGAAGGGGAGTTTCGGGGTCAGAATTTCGAATGTAGAGTTAAGGTTTAGGGTTTAGGGTGTGTGAATGCACAGTATCGGTGGGTTAAGGACAGGTACTTCTACCTGCAGAATACAATAGCCTATAAATCCTAAACCACGGCAAGCCCTGCGGGCCCGTGTGCTTACAAAGCCTGTTGCTATCGTTTTCTGTTCTTAGTGGGGCCGCATTGAGGGATTGTCGGCCAAAGCAAAGGCTTTCAGCATGGGCACGTGAACCCTTTCGGGAAGTCAAGGGCCCTTGGATTCAAACGCTTCGTGTTTTAAGTTTCTGAGCCCTGAACCCCAAGAAATCCGAAGTCCTGAACGGACCCCCCCGTTATCACCGATGCATGTAGAATATTAGCAGTTTAGAGTTGTAAGCAGAATTATAACTGTGTATATTCGTTGGGCCAGTCTTTTACCTGCATTTGGGGTTTAGGGTGAATTTGATCTATAAACGTTGTATACACCTCAACCTTAAACCCAAAACCATCTCAAATGTTGAACCCAAGCCGTGGGCAGCAGGTACGGGCATGATCGGATACAGTGGGCTGAAGGTTATCCAAGAGATCATGAGAATTACGAACTTAGAGGGGTCCTTAATTGGATCTACAAGAGATCTACAGGTTCTTCAAGGTACTTAAGGGTCATGGAACTTGGTAATTAGGGCTATATTAGAAATAGGGCAACGGTGCTTCTACTCATTTGTAAGCCCATTTCAGGTATTTACAACCTTACTTACGAAGTCCCATGAACCTCCAAGTTCGGGTTCAGGATTTAGGGTTTTAGATTTAAATTGAAATGGTTGCGCTCAATAGCTTGCCCTTGCACCTTGCTGGTTGAATGTATGGAACACAGTGGCTTCAAAGCCCCTTAGTTCAGGCAGGAAGGTACCCTAAATCGTAATAAGGGCCATTCTGTATTTTGAGGTATATTCCTTGATTAAGGGGTGCTGGAGTCAGAGGGTTGAGTGTATCAGCTAACATAGGAGCCTAAGTAATTACCTACTTAGAGTTCCGTCTAATAACTAAGGTAACTAAGGAATGTTCTTCATTTTCCCAAATTCTTATTCCGATTATTTATGCTCTCATCTTCGGTGCAGCGTCCTGTACAACTAGCCGGAGATATGGCAGTATGACCGCTGCTACTTGTAGTGTCGGGATGTGTGCTATCCGTACTAGACCTAATGACGTGACAGCCGTACATCGCATGTGCTGCTTCCGTGACTGTTCTTCTAATGCTGTCCATAATAGGCAATACTATGCCTGAGAGTTCCTTATACACACTATACTGAACATATGTATGTATATATATATGTATATGTATATGTATATATATATATATATCATACCCGAAAAATATTCCAATTAGTAGTGCTCTTAGGCATGACAGATGCAGACAAGCAGCAGCTGACGGAAGAGCTCAAGGACAGGCGTGGGATTTGGCATTTCTGGTACAGTTCGACGTGTTTGCGCTCGGTTCAGGGTTTAGGGTGCATCACAATCGGGGTTCCCCCCATCCGGGCCCAAGTGCTATGCAAAGCATATAAGCCCCACAAGTCCGTTAACTCCATAATAACTGGGCTTGGAGTACCATACTTTAATATTTTTTCTTAAAGGAACCATTATGAAATACAAGTGTCTATTTTTCTCCCTGGTTACTCAAAAGCCCAGACAAGCCCTAAACTAGGCCCCAGGCCCTCGGAGCCTTCAACCCTACTTAAAGGATCATGGGGCTTAGTAAGTAGGTTATAATTGGGGTTATAAGTCCCCTAAGTGGGGTTATCCTAATTATAACCTACTTATAACCTTACTTACTAAGTCCCATGAGCCTTTAAGTAGACTTTAAACTGCAACACCCCAAGCACCACTTTGACCTAAGCCCTCCTAGCCTTTATTAACAATCAGAATGGGGTTTCGTGGGCTCCTTATTATAGTTATAGTATACTTATTCTAATTCTTTAGGCTCCATACTATAATTATTCTAGTTATTTAGGCTCCTTACTATAGTTATAATATACTTGTTCTAATTATTTAGGCTCCGACAGAAGCGCCAGGAGAAGCTCTTCAAGAGTGCCGAGAGGGGGGCTCCTCGGTGCCGAAGTTTAAGGGTGTGGAGGACCCAAGACTTGGGGGGCCTACCTACTTGGAGGATCATGGGACTTAGTAAGTAAGGTTATAAGTACTTGAAGTTCTTCTGGTTGACTCTTAGGACTTTAACGTTTTAGGTTTCTTTATGAGCTATAGTAACGAGGCTAAAAGTTTAGGTTTTTGGAGGGGCTCAGGAGTCAGCCAAGTTAATTGAGGTTATAAGTAATTATAAGTGTGGCTACCTTATTTATAACCCCAGTTACTAAGTCCCATGAGCCTTTAAGTAGAGGATCCATATAGGAGTTTCCGAAAACAGGGGACCCCAATATAGTATCGTAATAATAGGATCCTCATCATAAGGTCCCTAAAATGAGGTACCCCCCAGTTTTCGGAAACACCCATGTATACTACCCATTATGGAATTACGTCCCTTGAAACCATAATGAGGATGGTTTTCAGGGACCTACTTCCATAGTGGTAGTACACATGCATGGACCATGGACCCTCTGTTTAATTCCCTCTTACAACATACAACACTACCTGCATGTAGTACGTACTATCCCTTGGCGTTCTTCTGGTTGGCTCTTAGGACTTTAACATTTTGGATATCTATATGAGCTAGGCTAAAAGTGTAACTTTTAGGAGGGTTCAGAAGTCAGCCAAGACCCTATTTCGAGTAAAGTAGTACTTGTTCAGGCATTTATTTGGCTCCTGAGTTCCCGACACCTTAAGGACTACGTCGTAATAATAGTGGAATAATTGCCTATACTTTTTTTGGTTATTATCATGGTTGCCATGCGAACTATTAAGGCCCTTATAGTACATCATCAGCTCTCCTCTTTGGGCTGAAGACTTCTGGGGATTGTGCTTCGGTTGATGATATAAATCCCGCATTACCCAGAACCAGGAATATACCATCTTTCCCAAAGTCTAGGGACATTAAGGTAATGCAGGATTCATATCATCAACCGTTAGGGCTTTGACTTGGGTTTAGGGTGTGACATTTCTGTAGGGTTGGGCTTCTACCTGCTCTTCGTAAATGAACCTGCCAGAGACCTGAACTAATGCAGCGTACATGGTTGAAACAGGGCCATGGGGAATATTTAACTAGTGTACACGCAGGGTACCGTTGCAGGGACGTTCAGCGGATGTCGTCACGAATTCTGCAGACCAGGCCCCAAGACTTTGGATTGAGCGACTTCTGGCCCAGTTTTCGACGGAACCGCTCAGGGTTGATGTTTAAGGCTTACGGCTCAGGGTCAGAGCCCGCCCCAAGAACGATGAGCCGAAACGGTTGGGGCGGACGCCGGGTACGCAGTGTTTTGGGTTCCGGGTTTAGGGTGCAGGGTTCAGGGCTGAGGTATTTCAGGGCTTGGGGGTTAGGGCTTTCCGGCAACTTGCGCTCCTAGTTTAGATAAGGTCTAGAGACGGGCCAGTGAGGACATTTCCAAGCTTTGCAAGCCAAGTTGTCCGAATTTACCATGATTAAGTATGAGATAACACTGCAAAGCTCAACTTTGTTGCAACCTACCAGAACCCGCTATGCTTGTAGCTGCTGAATGAAATTTCTGTAGAAAGCCATCATCAGTTAATGACTGAGCAGGGCCCCTGCAAAAAATGGGGTCCGGCAGCTTGAGGTAAATTTTTCGCAGCATAATTCTCGCAGCCCGAGCCCGCCCAAAAGGGTTTAGAGTTTAGTCTACTTGGCATTCTTTAGGACTTTAACTTTTTGGGTTTCTATATGAACTATAACTAGGAGGCTAAAAGCTTGACTTTTAGGAGGGTGGCTGTCTCCCAAACTTTCGGGGATCGCACTTTCAACCTCCGAGGAAGCCGCCGAATGCCGCGGACTCCTTGTCGATTTCCCTCGCGCAGTGAACAGCCGGAGCTCTAGGGTTTCCCAGAGACTCGAAAACCCAAAAGGGCTTCGGGTTTACGGTTTTAGGGCTTTGGGTGTGGGGTTTAATTAGGGTTCAGGGTTTAGGGTTCAGGGGTTTAGGATCTGGGGTTTGGGGTTCAGGGCTTTACCACCCCAAGCACCCGTCAATAGAGGCCTCATGGCCGTACTACTCTTGATGATATAAATCCTGCATTACTTTAAGAACCCTAAACTATGGGAATTATGGGATATTCCTTATTATGGGTAATGCAGGATTTATATCATCAACCGTAGTGGGTACCGAGGCTCTCATGAGGGGTATTTGGGCGGCTGCTGGTAGGGTCTAGGAGCTTAGGTCATCTTGGTACGGGGCTTAAAGGACGGGATTTTCCCAAGCAGCTAATCAGAGAAATGACCTTCAAAGATATTTGGCAGCCGTGCTTGTGTCTAACTAAGGTTTATTTCTGAATTCGGGGTGGAGCCTCTGGGTTCTTCAGGAAGACAGCTTAAAGCAGACGTACTGAGGTATGGTTTAGGGTATGCCTAGAGGAACCTAGGTACCTTACCAAAACGGTAAACGCTCTATATTTTCTAGGGTCAGATCCATGTTTGTCAGCTACATTGGTTACTCGCCCAAAGGGTCCTAAGGAATTGTATGGTAGAATGTGGGATTTCTTTCTATATAGTAGGAAATACTATTCTGAATTGGGCAAGTATCCCCCAGAACAGTACTTAGGACCCTTTGGGTCGAGATACTCCTCAATCCAGGGCTCTGGATGTCCACGTCAGCGCATGAAGGGTTAGCGCATAAAGGGTTCTTAAGTAGCTTCTTGAACTATATCAAGCGATGTTTGGAGGATTTTGAGGTTGTTTTGTATAGGGCTTCACTCGTGGATAAACGTGCTTATGCTCTGACGGGCGACAATTAACGGGTCACTCTATAATCGAACGGCTGGGAACCTGCTGTTTTGTATGAAACCCTAAACGCTAAACCCTACTTGGAGGGGCAGGGGACTTAGTAAGTCGTTTAAAATAGTAGGGTTATGATTGGGATAACTCCATTTAGGGTACTTGTAACTCTACTTATAACCTACTTACTAAGTCCCTAAACCCTAATCAGGAACCCTAGGAACCCTATAGATTCCTTTAAGGATCCCTGTAAGAACCCTTACTAAGTGTCCTGCCCCTCCAAAACCCCAAACCTAGACCCTAAACTCGAAACCTAAACCCGAAAACCCTAACCCTAAACCCTAAACCCAAGCCCTAAACCTAGAACTGAACCCTAAGCCGTGAAGCAAGAGGAGCGCTCCGGATGGAAATACCCCGCTGCACGTAGCCGCTGAGGAAGGCCGGCGTAGTTCAGCTCATGAGTGTTATATATTATCAAAGGGGAAAAGGAGGGACCCTTAATGGGGACCCCTACCCTATAATGGGCTATATAATGGGTATATAATAGCTATATTAAGGGTATATACCTAGGGGTCCTTATTAAGGGTCCCTCCTTTTAGTCTTGGATATTAGGTGCTGCCCCCATACAGTAATAGGGCTACTATTAAGGTCCTAACATATCGATATTATGAATATAATGGGCGGTTGTCAAAGTTCTGGTCCTTTTTGGGGCCCCTAATATTTCACGGCACTTAAAATTGGGTACCCAAAGAGGGACCATCAATTTGACAACCACCCATATACATTGAAGTAGGAGCCTGATTAAGAAACCCTGGGCCTATAATATCAGGAACCCTAATACCCTAAAAAGGCCCAGGGTCTCTTAATCAGGTTCCTACATTCGGTGGTCTGGGACCCAGAGTCGGCCCTTATTCCCTTTTTTTTGGTTGAGGTTCTCTTATAACCCCCCTTTAACCCAAAAGGGCACCCTGTTTACTCCTAGGTTACTCTTGGGTCTAGATTAGGTGGTTTAAACGGTTTAGGGTTTAAGGGTTTAAGGTTTCAGGGCTTTGAGTTTAGGGTTTGAGGGCTTGGGCTTTAGGGTATTACCTAAACCCCCCAAAGTAGGTAAAATAAAGGCCCAATACCCATAAAAGGCTGTCATTCTACATACTGTTGGGGTCCAGGTAAGGTGTTTGTATGTGGGGACTGGGGCTTCAGGGCTTAAGCTTTAGGCTGTGTGACTTTTTCGTGGTTTGGGCTTCCTAGCAAGATTCGAAGAGGAAGTCTCAAAGCCTTGATGATGATTCCAATATGGGCCCCAATCAATTGCAAGGGGTCGGAACGACTAGTACTAGTATCTCGTATACAGTTTCTAAAAGAGTAATCCTGTTCTAAATGTTGAGGCTGCTGTAATATCTCCTTGTTTCTACTTATATCGGTTATGAGTTGGGGTTCTGCTCCATCCCTTTGAAGGGCCCTCTGAAGAAACCAACTGAAGAATCGGTGTTCCGACGTTTCCGGGGTTTCATTTGCGGGTGTTTGAAACTCCGATCTCTCAGCCCTGTGCAGCTTAGAGTGCGGTGTAAGGAGCCATCAGCAGGGTTTAGGGTTTAAGGATTACCAGTATCCTAAAGCAGCTAACCCCTGGACCCTAAACCCTAAAACCATCCTAAACCCTAGACCCTAAATCCTAAACCCTAAACCCTAAGCCCCTAAACCCCTAAAGGGAACTCCAGAAAGTTGGAATATGGATTAATGGTAGGATCCCCTATAATTTACCTTAAAGGGGATACGATAATGATATTCCAACTTTCTGGCTTCTATCTACTGTAGACCCCTGGACCCTAAGCCGTTGTAGGGTTCTGGAGCTTCAGTTCGGCAGGCCAAGTGGAGACAGTTCAGGTCCTGCTGCAGATGAAGGCCGATTGCCAAGCTCTTGTGAAACCCTCATAGAGCTCTGATAGCCCAGAGGCTCCATACATATATATATATATATAATGTGTATATATATATATATATATATAATGTATATATATATAATATGTATATATCTATATATATATACACATATAAACCATCATCTTATTATGGTTTCAGGGGACCTAATTCCATAATGGATGTACATAGAGCCTCTAGAGGTAAGGGCTTGTTGTTATCGGAGGATGGGATGCTTTAGGGCTTCTGGGTGTTATAGGGGTTGAGGTTTTAGGGCCTTTGAAATTTGAGGGTTTAGGGTTTGGAGCGCGGGGGGTTAGGGATAGGGGTGTAGGGATTTTGGGGTTTAGGGTTAAGGGGGTTTGGGTTATAGGGTTAAGGGTTTAGGGCAGTTACAGGGAGCTTTAATACCCATAATATGATATAATATGGACTTGATAAGGCTTGTTTAATTAAGGAAGTATAGTCCCCTACCCCCCTACCCCCTTGCCCCCCTGCCACCCGTAAGGGTCTGTATGATTTCTACAATGTTACAAGCTTGGGCCCGTGCGACGGGAAAAGATCCCTTGGAAAACACACTAGATACTAAACTCTAAGCCCTAAGCCCTAAAACCCTAAACCCTTAACCCGAAAACCCCAAGCTGAAGAGCGCTAAGCCCTAAACCCTAAAGCCCAAACTATAACCCCTTCCGCCTTTTTCAAAGGCAAACCCCGAGCTGCGGAACGACTATAGCCTCCGAGCTATCGACTTGGCACCTCGTCGTGAAAAAACTGCTTTGGTTTTTTGTTGGGGTTTTAGGTTTAGGGTTTTACACCTCACCCTAAGCCTTTAAGGTAAGGCCCCTCAGGCCCCTTTGGTACCACTTAGGGCGTACCGCGAGGATGCAATGCCAGCCTGCATAAAGCGGGATGCTTCAATATTTTGAGAACATGCGTTGGCCGCGGCACATCAAGCTGCGTTGCACGTCACTCGCAGAAGCTTTCCTTTTGGTTTGGTGCTGTAAGCAGCCGGTGCATTGGCGGGTTTGGTGAATTTCTGCCGCTGGAGTGGGGGCTCGCACCCGGTGGGGGATACCGCTCACAGCGTTCATCACAACCACGCGGGGTTCTTTTTGGGACTTTGCAAGGGTTATATAGGAGAGGCGGAATTTAGCGTCTGGTGTTGAAGGGTCCCCTGAATGCCTTAACCCAAAGGGTCCTAGGTATTGCTCTGGGGATATTGGTTCAGACCACAATAGTAATTCCCACATAGACACCATAAGCCCAAAACCCTGAACCCACGACTATATAATTACCTAGACCCTCCATCTACCCGCTAGTAGCCACTAAATTTCACTAAATGCCCCCTATCTGGGACCATATACCTCTATTGGAGGGTACAAGGAGGGTCCTTGAAATTAGTGCTTGGTTCTTAGCGAGGAACGGGGGAATGGATCCAGTAGCTCCTATATAATCCCCAATACAAGTCTCCATAATCCATTCCCCCATTCCCTACTAAGAACCAGACAGATTACTTTGGACCCTTTTGGTACCTAGAAAACCCTAAAACCCTAAACCCCTAAACCCCTAAACCCTTAACCCCTAAACCCCTAAACCCTTAAACCCCTAAACCCTCAACCCTAAACCCTTAACCCTTAAACCCCTAAAAAAACACTAAACCCTTGAAACCCTAAACAGGACCCTTTGGGTAATCACACCAAATCAACACCTCCTTTTCAGAAAGCTCAGGCTGCAGGGCCCGGTGTTATCGGGCCCTCAAAGGGAACCTTAAAGGGAGCCCCTAAGAAGCCCTGGGTCCCTGAAAAGGGTTGAGGGTTTAAGGATGATTACCTACTGTTGATGATGTAAATCTTGCATTAAGGAGCCTAAACTATGGGAATTATGGTGTATTCCTTCTTATGGGTAATGCAGGATTTATATCATCAACCGTATTACCTTAATGCTAACGCTGACAGTTTAGGGTGCAGGGTGTAGGCGATTAGGGGTTTAGGGTTCAGGGTTTAAGGGTCTAGGATTTGAGGTTGGCTTCATGTGCCCAGGACGTTCCGGTCCAAATTCATGGATCTAAGGCCTAGGGTGGATTTTAAGGTTTAGGGTTGAGAGTTTTGGAGTTTTTATCACCCGAAGGCTCCATGTGCCCTTATAGTATATACTTAGGCCCTAAAGAGGTTCCTATTAAGGTATTTCAAGGCCTAAATCTCCACTACATAAACACATCGAGCCGTAGGGAGTGATCCGAATACTGGTTCCCTGCAAGGTTCTATGCGATTGATAAGCAGTGTTCTAGGTTGATAAGGGTTGAGAAGTTGTTTATTTGTCCTTCAGTCGTTCTTCAAGCTGTCGCCCATGCTAAAATACGCCTAAAACCCTAAACCCCCAAACCCAAAATCCCAAGCCCAAAACCCCCAAACCCTACTGTGAGCCCCAAGCCCTACAAGGGCGCCCTGAAGATTGAGGCCGATGGGGTTCGAGCTCAGCATTCAGAGGTTATAGGGATTGCTGATAGAGCTTCGAGCTTCGGGTTTTGGTTGCAGGGCGTAGACTTTACAGTTTAGGGATTGTTCGGGGTTTGGGCTTTAGAGTTCAAGGATTGCTTAGGGTTTAGGGGTGTAGGGTTTAGGGCAATTAGGCTGTAGAGCTTAAGGATTAGGCTGTAAGGCATGGGGGATTGACCTGAGTTGCAGGGAGCAGGCAGCGGGCTCATGGATTCGTGCTGCCAACAAAACAGCAAACCCAAACCATATACACCTATCCCCTATAACTACCCCAAACCCATAACCCATATAGCCTGAACCCTATACCCTATAACTGCCTATAACCCGAAACCCTCTGCAGGTTGAGGCGGACACCGCGGTTTTCAACCTCCTGAATGACCAAACTTCGCATGATGTGAAGCATCGCACAGGGATTTCCCTGGGAAATCGGCGCGCCTCCTTAGGGGGAGTTTGAATGAAGGCTGTGCGCGAGACCCCGGGGCCCTAAACCACATGGCATGGATTCGGGCTACGGTTTTTGTATCTACACGCCCCGAGAGTTGGACACTATAGCCCTACACCCAAAGCTTGTCTCCTAGGACTCCAAGTATACAAATAGCACCTACTTTGGGGTCTGAAGTCTATAAATACTGCCTACTTTGGGCTCTTTGAAGGCTTAGGGATACAGAGAGTGTCGGTGCGGTGGAGCTCATTTACTTGCAAAGTCACTCGCCAGAAATCGGGATGTTTTGGCCCACGGGTTTATGGGTTGGGGTTAGGGGGTTTAGGGGTTAGGGTGAAGGGCCGCTGACGAGGCTGGCTGACTGAAGATCCATAAAGTAGCAGCAGCAGTCGTGCGATCACTGCTTGCCAGCAGAAGAAGCCTAAACCCTAGGCCCTAGACCCGAATCAAAAAAACCCTAAGCCCAAAAGCCTTAAACCCTCAGCAGTAGCAGTCTGAGTGTTTAGGAGGGAATTGCCGAAGCGTTTTCCGGCCTCTCGGAGTGATCCTCGCAAAAGAGGTCCAGGGTACAACTGATTCCCGAAAAACAGGGTTTAACCCGAAGCCGTGGCCCAGAGCTGGCCCTACCTTAACCTTGAAAAACCTACCTTTTTAGGCTTCCTTATTATGATTTCCTTAGTAAGGCCTTAAAAATGTAGGTTATTCCGGGTTCAGGTAGCCCATATTCCGCACTTAAAGGCTCATGGGACTTAAGTAGGGTTATAGTTAGGATAACCCCACTTAGGGGACTTATAACCCCAATTATAACCTACTTACTAAGTCCCATGATCTTTTAAGTAAAGCCTAAACATCCTAAACCCGAATTCCTTCAGCCGTAAACTTGCGTCTAAGATTTCCTGGATCTATGGGCCCTCCAGCTACCCTCTGCCCAGTTTCCAGCGGCTGGAATATTTTCGAAGACCGTATTTCAGTCACCATGGCCTCTGCATTAGCCAGTTGTATCCCTGCACCCTGCTATTTCGGGGTTTCTTCCTTCAATTACACGGAGTGTGCCCTCTATTCGTGGTCCTGGTGGACATTTCGATTTAGGGCCTCAGCACCAAGCGTACTTTTTCACAGCCCAACTTCAATGCAGCGGAGGCATCGAGAGAGAAGAGGCTGCTCAAATCCTTCGCAAGCTGCCGAGAGCCCCACATTAAGCTGGCTTTGTGAATGCCAAGGACTTTGACAAACTGTATTCGCGCCTGTTCAAGCCCCTATTTATTTCTAATACACTGTAATTGAGAAGTATTCCTCAAACCTTCTCTAAGATGCGCCCTGGACGTACTTCATGCAAGATTCCTACGGTGTCTTACGCACCAATAGTTAGCCATGATGTCAGCCGCAAGACCAAATCATCATTGAATCACCCCGAACCCAGTTTACTTGCGCTTTTGAGCAGCCAAGCTCTACCGGCCGCGCAGCTCAAGTGTTTTCAAAAAGGCGAGCCACCTGCCCTGAACTCTCGCACATCATTACGGTGGAGGCGAAGCAATCTGACTGCAGGCCCGACAGTACCAGAACGTGCAGTCTTATTATGTGTTCGCTGCAGTAGGACTATATATATATATATATATATGTGAATACAGCAGTTGTTCTTGGATAAAGCTCTTAACCCCAGCGGGGGTAAGGTTGAAGATCCGTACAAATTCTTTTGAACCGCTATAAGTTCAGCAGAAGACTCTCGTAAACCCTGTAAGACCTTCCGAATAGGCATGTAACCCCAAGGGCCCATGTACGCAAACAGTATATACTTAGGCCTCGCTGTCGTCCTTATTTAGGCACTTTGCCAATGCATATACTATCTGGATACACGGACCCTCAGGGTTGCATAAGCCCCCTAATTTTCATCATTGCAAACCCTATCAAACCCTCAAGGAAGGGACGAGTTGGTTTATTAGGCAGCCTGCATCTGGGGTCGATGATCTTGACATAAACAGGGCACTCTACTTGTCGTTGCAGAATATTTGGGGCTTAGGGTTTAGAGTTCCCGGAACCCTACTTGTCTTTGACTTCGGGCTTCATGGCGAAGGCGATGGAGCAGTTGGAGGACCACGATGTCATGGATGACGTCTGCGAGACGGCTTTCCACCGGTCCCTCAGCGTCCTTCGAGTGGGGGTTCAGGGGCTTGGACGGCCTAGGGTTGAGAAGTTCGTCGGTTTACGGGTTGAGGACATGCCATCCTTGCATGTAAAGATTGTAAGCTGTTTGGGTGCCTTCAATTCAAAGAAAGTCGGGACGAGGGTTGTTGTGAAGTAGGGCCCTGAGAGAAATCCCGTGAGTGTAGCTATGCTTTGTGTCATCCTCGGGAATACCCTAAACCCTGAACCTTAAGCCCTAAACTCTAAGCCAATACTCTTCAGAATAACTCTACTCCACACCAGCTCTCTCACTCCAAAACTGGCTGTAAATCTGTCAGTCCTGTCGGCATGGCCACGAAGAATACTGTTCTCCACTACCTCTACCGACTGCTTGTATCTGCTGGCTACTAAGCGCTGTAAGACCATGACCCTGAGCCTGCTAACGAGCAATACCTGATCCCGAAATCCCTCATATAAGTCATATCAAGTTGTACTTAAACTTTCGAAGCCAAACAGGAGCTCATAAGTTTAAACCAGCACTTGCAATGCTTGGGGTTCACCTACGTGTTGTAAGGAAGTATCGCATAATGCATACATAAAGGTGCCAAGGTCTTATTCTGATAGTATCAAGCCCACATTGAATCAGTAGGCTTCTACAGAACACATATATAAAGATCCAATAAGATCCACAAAGCCCTATAAACGTGCTAGAGCCTCATAATATTTCTTCAACCAGACAACCTCATAGAGCCCTGTAAACATCGCCGAAGCACCTGCGGCCTAACATATGGGCCTAAACAATTACGAACACTATTTTGGGGGTTCCTTATTGCGGTTATAGTATAATGGGCCCCGAAGCCCCATTCTAATTATGAAGGCTCCTGCAGCCGAAGCACTAAACTCTAGACCCTAAACCTCTAAAACTTTAAGAAAACCCTACAAACCGCAGTCAAGACCCGCAAGCAAACGGTTTGCGGTCTCGCAGTACCCTTCCGAGGCTGTTTCGATGGAGAGGCGATCTTCCATCGAGGCCAATTTTTTTGGGGGTTTGGAGCTTAGAGTGTAGGGGTTCGGGATGACAGGGGTTTAGGGTTTAGGGGGTGATGGGGAGAGTCCAGATTCGTTTTTTAGGTTTGATTGGTTTAGGATCTCGGTGGTTTGGTTCACATTGTAATGTATCTTTTTTACATCGATGTAAAAAACATACATTACAATGTACAGCATTCCAGTCCGATTGGTTTAGGATCTCGGTGGTTTGGTTCAGGGTTTGGAACTCAGGGTTCGTTTTCGTTGACTCGGGGTTTGGGGTTCCTGCCGCAGGTGAATCTGCGGCATGAACGATCCTTTTAAGTGGGATTTTCAGGGACATAACGAAAGGCTGTTTAGAATTGGGCGCAGAGGTAACCTTGCTTCTTGCTTTCAGCCTATGGCCTGTGCATTACAACTACATTGCGACCCTTCAGCCAGCAGTAGCTGAGTGATTAGTGATTAGCCACCATGTGTTAGGCTAAGAGCCTTAGCCGAACCACAACTGAATCGCCTGCGCCGCACCATAGCTGAAAAGCTGATTTTCCTTAACCCTAAACCCTAAAGCCTAAGCCGTAGTTGAATGGTTAAGCTCGTTTTTCGTCTGGACACTCAACCACTGTGTCGTTCGCATCCTCCGTTCAGGATCACACTTCGGCTTAAGCCCTAATCCCTGTACGGTTTGTGGCAGTAGGGTTCAACACGGAGCAGCTAGCTACATATTCAGTAGGGTGTTCCTTGTAAGAATTACAGTATAGACCGCCGCCCAGATTCTCTCTTCGATGTGCTGGGCAGCTTCACACGTGATGAATTGTGTATGCCGACCATTATGCAATGCTTTTCTCCACAGGATCAACTAGCCTCAGCTGTGCCCAATAGCCCCAGTGAAGATCAACATGCCGGAGACCCCAAAACGCCGAGGTGAACGCAATGCGTCGAGGACGCCTCCACCGGTGCGACACCGTGGTCGTGCCCGGAGATCTCCCCCCTCCAGTGACGAGATTGAGGAATCGGATTGATCGAGATGGTGCTCCGAAATCAGGATCGGCTGCGCCAAAGGGACCTCCTCCGCCCGTTCTGGTCAACTCACCGAAACGAGCTCTGGGGGTCCGGGTCATCCGACTACCACACGCCAGGTGGAGGCCGTGTCGTCTCAGCACTGCAGACACCACCATAGCGTATCCAAGGATTGGCTTCGGGGTGCAGGGCTTCAGATTTAGGATCTTATAGGCCCAGGTATTATACCTAGGTCTTCAGGTGTTTAGGGCTTCGAGGCGTGAGGGCGCTTGCGAGGTTTGTCTGAGGGTGCAACACACAGGTGGCCTCAGCACAGGGGCGTGCCCAGCTCCACGTCACGCGCGAGCCCCAGATCGATGCATAGTATGCCTGCACAGATTATTTAAAACAGAAAGCAAGTAAGCAAGTAAGTACGTAACCAAGTAAGTACGCATGTACGTAAGAAAGTACGTAAGTAAGTATGTAGGTAGGTAAGTAAATAGGTAAGTAGTAAGAAAGTATGTAGGTAAGTAAGTGTATGTATGCATGCATGTACGTATGTATGTATGCACCGGTGTATTTATGATAACTATTCAAACATCGTCTTTGTTTACTGGTGTGTGTGTGTGTGTGTGTGTGTGTGTGTGTGTGTGTGTGTGTGTGTGTGTGTGTGTGTGTGTTTGCCAGCGGGCGAGAGCGAGAGCGAGAGAGAGCGAGAGACAGAGACAGAGGGGGGGTGGGGGGTCTAGTGCCCCAGCCCAGAGATCTCGAACATCCCTCAAGCCCAGCAGAAGAGAGAGAGAGAGAGAGAGAGAGAGAGAGAGAGGAGAGAGAGAGAGAGAGAGACACAGAGAAAGAGACAGAGACAG